TTTTAAATGTTAAAGGGATACTCCACTTTTTTTGGAAATAGGCTCATTTTACAACTCCCCCAGAGTTAAACTGTTGAGTTTTACCGTTTTTGAATCCATTCAGCCGATCTCCGGTTCTGGCGGTACCACTTTTAGCATAGCTTAGCATACATCATTGGAGTTGACAAGACCATTAGCATTTCTCAAAAAAAAATGACCAAAGAGTTTCGATATTTTTCCTATTTAAAACTTGACTCTTCTGTAGTTACATCGTGCACTAAGACCGACGGAAAATGAAAAGTTGCGATTTTCTAGGCTGGTATGGCTAGGAACTATAATCTCATTCCTGCGTAATAATCCAGAAACTTCACTGCCGTACCATGAGTACAGCAGGCGTAATGATATGACGCAGCGCCTGAAAATAGTTCCGTTGTGTTGACGGAAGGTGGCCTATTTTCAGGCGCTGCGTCATATCATTACGCCTGCTGCACTCATGGTACGGCAGTGAAGTTTCTGGATTATTACGCAGGAATGAGATTATAGTTCCTAGCCATACCAGCCTAGAAAATCGCAACTTTTCATTTTCCGTCGGTCTTAGTGCACGATGTAACTACAGAAGAGTCAAGTTTTAAATAGGAAAAATATCGAAACTCTTTGGTCATTTTTTTTTGAGAAATGCTAATGGTCTTGTCAACTCCAATGATGTATGCTAAGCTATGCTAAAAGTGGTACCGCCAGAACCGGAGATCGGCTGAATGGATTCAAAAACGGTAAAACTCAACAGTTTAACTCTGGGGGAGTTGTAAAATGAGCCTATTTCCAAAAAAAGTGGAGTATCCCTTTAACATGGCTTCGCCCCCTCTTACCTTTCAGACTTGTTGTGTGAACTAGGGATGGGAATTTTTCAAAAATATTGTATTCGAATATTTGGGCTCATAAAAATCTAATATTCGTTTATTTAAATGACGTTTAACGAGAAAGCCGTTATTTTTTTAAGTTTAAGTTTTTTTTGTCACCATTTCTGAACAAGCTTCTAATTAGGCAATATACACATCAAGCTTACTATATATCTTAAGGTTTTCTTTTTGTTGAAAACATTAAACAATATGTTTAAACAAAAAATATAAAGAGCAAAAACATTTGAGCTCAAGCAGCGCGAACGGAAAAAAGCACAAATAAAGCAGACTGCGCAGTTATCGTACAGAACATACATGTGCACTCGAGTCAGCATATGGTTATCGTGTTGTTTATATTGTTTCATGTTGAGAAAAACAATAATATCCACATGCTCGAGTGAGAAAAATGCTGCGCTGACTAGAGATGCACCGATTACAATTTTCTAGGCGGATTCCGATTTCTGATTTTTCAGAGATTGACCTGCCAATACCGATTTTAGCCGATTCCGATTTCATTTTTTCGAACTACTTTACAGCACACACAAATATTTATTTTCTCTCTTTTCTTTAGAAGAACATTTTACATTTTGCATAGAACTTTTTTGAACAGTAATCGCCAGGGTGGGAATTATGTAATTTTAGGGGCAAGGCCATTTGGCCTCCAACTTTTCTTTTTTTTTAGGGGCACCAAGGCCAGATGACAGGGCACAAAGGCCATTGAGTACAATTCGATGGTTTTCCCATTCAGATTGATACCATAACATCCTAATTTGGAATAAGACACGGATTATGACTTTTTTAAATCAAAAATAATTGTTTTACCTTCTGTGATCTGATTTGGCTTCAGATAAAAAAAAATCAGACAGAAAATATAATATTTTATGTATAATCAGGCATGAAAACAGTTTAGGGGTGAAAAAGGTGAGAAGGATATTACCCATCTAGGGGGGTCCGGGGGGCATGCTCCCCGTAAGAAAATTTTATATATTCCATATTTTAAAGCATCAATCTGATGAATTTTTAGATGCATTTTTTTGCATACCAGCGCAGTTAAAAAAAAAAATCAAATAGAATTTCTATAACTGTGTTGAACTGATAATCACTCTTTTGTGTGTTAAACACAATCTACTTAATACAGACAACTTCATTATAAAGAAAAACAACAAATAAAAAAAAATATGATCATAACCAATCATGACAAAAATTCTATTATAAACTAGATTAGTGGATAACTCAGCAGTAAAATTTAGTCTAGAAAAATCACAAGTGTACAATAATTTTATCAAATCTGAACATTTAGTGAAAAAAAAACATTATTTACTGGGGAACAAATAAGAGACAATAAGTGTAGCACTAAATCTGGTAAAACGTTACACATTGCTCTTTGTATTGTTGTAAAATACATGAATGAAAAACAAGATAAAAATCAGAAAGATCAATTATTTTATATATAGTCTAGGCTACTATAAAATTAAGACATTTTTTTTAAATGTATATCACATCTGTTTAATGAGGCAGCAACATATGATAGATAGGACAGAACAAAAAAGGCTATTAAGAATCTTTCATTGCGCAAAAGTATTATATGATTATGAAAGGATCCAACACAGTGCGACACACAGCGCTTATGCGCATCCCGAGCGCAGAATGATGCGCTTGAAGCAACACAGTCACAGCGCGCAGCGCGTCGAGTCCGCATTGAAAAGTTCAAAGCACAAAGACATATCGATATCGATGCGTAGTGTATTATACAGTATCTATCTATGCAATAGTTTATTGAGCCTTTTCTTTTAAGAGTTTTAAATTTCAGTTACTGTGCGCGTGAAGAACAATTATAGTGCTCCAGTGTTGTGATCTAACAGACACACTATAGAAAGTAACATGATTAAGTTACAGCAATACAGTCCAGCAAGATAGTCATTTTATGCGAAACCATAGAGCTTTATCTACCGATCAAGTATAATAATATTAACATTGAATCATCTTGGAGAGGGTTATCTGTAACCGAACGCGACGCGCTGTTTGATGCTGAATGGAGAATGACTGACAGTCGCAGCGGAGGGAAAAGTTTTCGTGAACTTGAATTTAATGACTTAAATTTCTATCTCACATCATAGGCTACTATAGTATGGCTTCATATAGTATACCATTCTATTCAATTCAATAAAATATTATTCCTGTTAATAGAAATCTGATGTAAACTAAGAATATATAAATATTTCTCCAAATCTGCACACTTTTGAGCTAAAAGCCGTGAGTGACGTTGTTTTGTGAATCGCTGTCATGACGACAGCACAGGAGTTTTTTATGAATGGGAACGCGATGGGGAAAAGAAACGCTTCAGTGCGCCGACGCACTGGTTATGACACTGCACCTGCGCGAATCCACGAACTAATTGAAGTTCAGAGACTACTTGGGTGGCCCACTATGCCGCACTGGCGCTTTATACATGGAACTTGGACAGGCCCAGGGCACACAGGCCACTGTGGCCGTACGATGATTTTGTTTTCACGGGGCATGAAGGCCAAAGTGTAGGGCAATGGCGCCCATGGCCGCGTGGTCGCGGTATAATTCCCACTCTGGTAATCGCTATAAAATAGGATTATATAAATGACTCCTGGTGTGGGAAATTCACACACATCTAAAGTGCAATGTTATGGAAGAACCATTTCCTTCTTATCACATCCAATATCCAACAAAAAAAAATGTTCATTTCAAAAAGAAAATTCATTTTCTTTTCTGACATAATACTCCAGTTCTTGTTAAAACACACCAGCCATGCAAATTCTGTGCATTTTGGGCACTTTTGTGTGAAATCATATTTATTTTGTCCATCAAAAGTGTGCTTTCACTTTAATTGAGCGTGAGCAGCGCAGCAAAAATAGACTCTGTGCCGAAACCCGCGCTTCACCGCCGCTCCTGCTCGACGGTCGCGCACCGCTCCTGCTCCCGGTGTGAATGCACTCAGTGATTTACATGCACGCCAGAAATAATACGCGCTGCTCACGTTTGCGGTGTGAAACGGCCGTAAATCACAAGGTTTCCTACATGTGCGTTTCCTACATGTGCGACTCCACCCATTCGAAGAACATGGACGTGCAATCTCTCTCTCTCTCTCTCTCTCTCTCTCTCTCTCTCTCTCTCTCTCTCTCTCTCTGTACCGGGGCGACTTGCACTTACTGTGACTGGGTCACGAGCTTTGAGTGTGCGTACGAAGGGGACACGCGCACGAGGGGGATGGTACGACCGTTTGATTGACGCACTTACTGTCCAATGATTCTAGGTGGTCATGGAAATGATTGGCTGGAGTTTTCCAAGTCCTGCCCGGTCCACAGACGATTAAATTGCTTAATTTTCATTTCAGTGCTTCTAACTCAGTGGCTGTAAGTGGGTTAAGAATAGAAAATCACTTACACTTACCCCACCTTTAAAGGAAGTATATGTCTCAAAATCATTTTGCTATCAGAAGATATCATCTCTGATCACTCGCGCTACAGCTGCGCATTAATTTGATTAAAAGTACTTCCATTTTGTAATATAATTTTCATCTAAGTAATTCCAAACTTCGAGAGGCAGACGACGACATTATGTGATCAAATACCATCCACTTGTTAAACGTGATCCACAGCGCCACCCAGTGCATTTAGTTATAACTGCGAGTTAGCGCTTGGGATTTATCGTGGATTCACTGCATTAATGGCCAGCAAAGCAACGTAGTAAAATTCGAATAGTATTTTATTTTTCAAATAATAATTATAGATCGAATATTCGAAAATTAGTGCACATCCCTAGTGTGAACACCATGCATTAAAACTCTTAGGTCTGCCAACCAGAGTTTAACTGTTACAAAGCCAAAGTTAAAATCTAGCTTTTCCATCGCCGCTCCTCAACTTTGGAACAGTTTACCGATTCATATTAGAACTAAAATAACATATTTTTAAATTAAAATTAAAAACGTACCTCTTCACTGTTGCCTATAACTTGTGATGTCCCTTGTTGTCTGTTGTTGTTTTGTTTTATTGTTTTTGGTTTTAGAACATTATACAGCGCATTGGCAAACTGTGGTTGTTTTTAATTGTGCTTTATAAATAAATTGAGCTTGAGATTGCTTCTGTTCTTCCTCAGATCGACTCCAGCGGCCTGAAACTGTCACTCGCTCACCATGACCTCCTTCAGCTTTTTATTTGCCCTGCTCTTCATCAGCAGGTAAGAGGATTCTGTCATGGATCAAACTCATATAATCGTGTTTGACGTTTCTAAATCAGGCTTATAAAAGGGTGGATGTGCTTCTAGAATAGTGCATTTCCGAATTAAGGATGCAATTATTCATCAATTCTTTTAAGGAAAGCTTACCCATTAAATAAAATTCATATATTCACCCACAAATGCATATTTTGATAAATTGTTAACTCCTCACATTAGTTCATGCTAGGGTGTGACGAGACAGTATTTGCACAGTATTTTTAAGAAATCCTCAATGGCAAAATTCATGACTGAAAAAAAAAAAAGTCTTCAGGTGCATTTGGAAATGTTTTAACTAATCATCTTGTAATGAATATCATTTCAGTTCTACTTTCTGAGTATTAATAACATGCATTGAAAGACAACAATATACAAGCACTGTAAAAGGTTTTGCCACAAACTCGACTGACTGGCTTTTCTCATGAATGATTTCACACGAGTCTCTTCAGACCTTATTATACATGAATTATGAGCTAGAGCTGCTCGATTATGGCATAAATCATAATCACGATTATTTTGGTCAATATTGATAACATGATTATTGGGGGGTGATATGATCTTATTTCACAACAAACAAAACTGACAAAAAATACAACAAAACAAAAATACTAGTGCTGGGCAACGATTAAAAAATTTAATCGCGATTAATCGCATGATTTCTTGCGATTAATCGCGATTAATCGCATTGTTACGCGCAATATTGAATAATGAATTCTAAAGTAGTGTATTGCGCACTTTTGATTTAAATGTACTGCTACAAAAGTGCAATAACATGTGGTTTGCAAAAACTTTAAACAAATAAGGTGCTTTTATACCAGCAGTATTCCCTTTACACAGTATCAATAAAATATTTCTTGTAAATCTCAACTTAAACATTAACATAATCAAATCAAATATTTAAACAAAGCTATTTGCCACTGCCAGGGCATTACCTTTTATCTAGCTTGTTAAAACGAGTCCAGTTTTCTTTTCTTTTTTTTTCTGAACAGGTATCTTGTATCAGGGAGCAGCAGAAACAGTCTATGTAGTCAAAGGGTCATGATCACTACTACAGATATAAGTCGACCAACGTTACTTCTCTGATAGCAGCTTAGGTTTGGTCATGGTGCCATGGTTTCCCACGTAAGATTACATTAAACAGAGGTAAAGCCCAATTTATACTTCTGCGTCGAACTCACGCCGTAGCTGTGTAGCGCGCGTACCCTGACGTGCATCTCTCCAAAAATGTAACGTCAATTCTACGCGTACTGCAAGCGCTGTGATTGCTAGAACCGCTCCCGGGTTTCACACTCTCCCTCTGCATGTGTAATTGCGCGTCAACGACGCAGATTTATAAATGAAAACCAACGCGTAGTCTATAGCGTAGAGGCTCCGGCTTAGGTCCGACGCAGAAGTATAAATCAGCCTAGAGTGAGGTGAAGTGGTCGAGCACTGGTGCAGCGACAAGCGGGTGCGTTCCTGTGAAACTGTTGCGGTCATGCTCGCCTCACGCACGCGCCCGCGCGTTGCCGAAGTTGAATTGTCTTACTTTTTGTACACGACGCGCAGCACAAATCATTGGAAGAGAGACTGATCCTTGGCTCGCTGTTTGTGAGTTTCCAGAATCTAAATAGTTATCAGGACATCAACAGGAGGGAATTCACATGGCAGAGCATCCCCGCTAAACTAAACGCAGGCCTATCAGGTAAAGTTATGTATAATTTTAATTTAAGTTAAAAAGACTACAGCTGCGTAGCGCACAGAAGCCGTTGCATGGTTACTATCCATAGAGCGCCTGTCATTCACTCGCGGAGCGCTTTCTCCTTTTCTGTTCACCTGAGAGAACCTGCCAAAGCCTCTCCACTGCTTGTTTGGGTGGGTTATTTGCTGGCTGACCAACATCCCACCCCTCCTGTGATCATGGTTTGACTGTAGGCCTATGTGTATTCAGAGCCAGTGAGCAACGGACTTTCAAAATAATAATAATAAAAAAAACTGCGTTAACGCACGATAAAAAAATTGTCGGCATTAATTAATAAATGCGTTAACGCGATAATAACGCGTTAACTTGCCCAGCACTAAAAAATACAAATTAATGTTTTTCAGGAAGATGTACTAACAGTGGTATTCAGATAAGTAATAGCCTACACAGAAATTAAATTAAGTAATCAGATGTAAAATACCACTGCTGTACATTAAATATAGACTAATCCTTAATTAAAACTACAAAAGTTATTAATTCAAGACCAGTGAGTGATTTTATCTTTGTCTTTTCTTCATTAATGTCATTAATGTTCGCTGCATGGATCCAATATATTGTTACACACGTGTTTCAAATTCTGTCACCAGAATTTATTTTTGAGTGAACTATTCCTTAAGTGAATTTTTGGTTACACTTTATTTTAGGGTGTCATTGTTACAGTGTAATTATATATTTAAGTACTGAGTAATATTAAGTAACTACATGTACTGACTATAGGGTTATAGGATTAGGGTTTGGTTGAGGGTTAATTGCATGTAATAATTATGCATAATTTACTGTTGTTCCTATCAGTGTTTGGAATAACGCCGTTTAAAAGAACGGCGTTAGGTAACGACGTTATTTTTTCAGTAACGGGGTAATCTAACTAATTACTTTTTACGTCGTTACAACGCCGTTAACGTTACTGGACGTTAAATGCGGTGCGTTACTATGCGTTGATTCATGGGCGTCAGTTTGGTTTGAAATGTGTGGGGGACAGAGACGCATTCGGAAGTACACTTTCAGAAGTGCTGGGTACAACGACGCAATATACGGTTAGTAAAAAATATACTAATGTCATAGAACGGATACCTAATACAAATAAATAAAACATATCCAGTTAACTAGCAGAGCATTCATTTAGTTCGCTATTAAATAAGAGATCTAGTGCTTAAATCTGTTGTTTTTGAGATCCAGCTGAGCGCTCGTGCTGCTGCGATCAGTGTCATGGATAGCCTACAGTTGTTCTCTTGTGGCTCGCGGCGCGCGCAGTCTTCACTCGGACGCGCGCTTCAATCTATCGCCGTTGCGGAGACTATTCATTCTGGTGAAATCACAAAATAAAATGCACACAAACGTGTCCCTGCTTGATCTATTCTAGATATATAGATACAGCTATATCTAGGAGCTAAAGTCCAATCTTTAAAAGCAATCCATCTTGTTAAACTGTTTACTTTTTTAATGAAGATAAAGAAATACAGCAGCCTATATGTTTTCCAGACTATTTATCTCAGGTTGTTAGAGTTAGTTTGATTTATTTAATTTGCTACAGTTACTGCAAACACACTTTATATTATTTAACTGTTTACTTTTGAAGAAAATACTTCCAGACCAGTTGTCTGACATTGGGAGTTTGATTTATTTAATTAAGAATTTGTAGTTTAAAAGTTTACTTTTGTTGTGAACAAAACACTTGTACAGGTTGTTAACTTGACCAGTTGTCTCAGGTTGTGAGAGTTTGATTTAATTCGCTAGAGTTAAATGCACTATGGTGTCTGTCGACGTGCAATAAATATCGAAAGTTACGTACAAACACCTGTCTGTTCTACTCATTTCAACTCCAAATTCTTTGACATATAGCAACTTTTTTTTTAACAGTAACGCAAATAGTTACTTTCCCTGGTAACGAGTTACTTTTAATATAGAGTAATTCAGTTACTAACTCAGTTACTAACTTTTTGGAACAAGTAGTGAGTAACTATAACTAATTACTTTTTTAAAGTAACGTTCCCAACACTGGTTACTATGGTAAGTACATGTAACATACAGTGGGTACTCAACCAGAATAATACTTTTACCGCCGCCGCTCCCGCGGCGGTAAGATTCTGGTGTGTATTTGTTGCCTTTTACCGCTAAGAGGCGCTACAATTACAGACTTTGAAAAGTGTCAGTTTATTCTCTCTATTGCGTAAACTGCAGCAGAGCCGCTGCTCATTCAGAGCGATTGTAAGCTGGTAACAGATGATTTCAAGTGAAACTTGTAGTTAAACGAATTCATAATCACAATAGGCCTACTGAAATTAAATTGAATAAATAGTGAAAACATTTCAACATAAAACATTGCAACCGAAACATATTAGGCTATCAATGAGGGTTTGGAAGAGCATAATACACTGTTTAACAGCGTTCAGATGATAGCTCAGCGGTTAACGCAACAACTTGAGCCTCACTACACTTCAAACGATCTGAGATCGAATCTCGATGGAGCCAATTTGCTGTTGGCCGAATTCGTTTATGTTTTACCGTTCTTGATGCTTAAATAGGTAACTGTTTATTAGCGAGTTGAGTTCATTAACTGTTTACTTATGTAAAGTCAAGAGTTTTGTTTAAATTATCAATGGCACATTACAACATAAATTTGCTACATTCCAGTAGAGCCGCTGCACGACAAAACTGCAGAGGGAAGATTAGCTGATCGCGTCAGAAAATGAAAATAATGAAGCTTGTCTTTAATCTGCTAAATTATTGTTTTGTGAATCATTCACGAAATTGAGGTGATAGACAGTGATACCCGGCCATAGCAACGGAATAAATTTTTCAAAACAGATCCATAAATTGAACAAATCAGAAAAGACTGATTTTGTTGACTTGGCTACACAAAATAACAGACTAACTAAATAGTATTGCTTTCAATATAAAAACAAATGAAAATGTAAAAGAACACTAAAATTAATTAAGTTTGAAACCCCATCGCACATTTTTAAGGTTTAAATAAAGTGGGACAGTTTATTTGTTTAAAACAGCTGGTTGCATTGAGTTTAGAGTTTATTTCCTTTGCGATGCAAAATAAGAAACACAGAATCTTATTCTTGTAACATTTTAAATTTGTATTGCCAAAGAAATTGCAGCTTAATTAAACAATTAAAACAGTACAAAACGAACAAAACGACATAAATTAAGAACATGCGTTTTTCTTTGCCTCTCTCTTGCGCTGGATCTCTTTTTAGCAAAGTTTATTTTGTCT